CATGCTAGGAGCCTAGGTGTATATTATTCAGTTTAAGATAGAAGCAAAAACATATGTAACTTTACTGGAGTGTGCCATAATTTGCTATACCATAAAGAGATGCACCAATACATTGGTCCATATTGTAACAGCACCAAGAAAAGGATAAGTCACATTTTCAGCAATTGGCTTTATTTGGCTGATGTGGCCAATAATGTCACTGAAAATGCTGCATGCATTTGCTTAGCCACAGCATGCACATGGCTAGGAATGCAGCTGGGCAGCTTGGAGAGTAGCATCTGGCTGGCAAGTCTGTGGAGGGCACTGGGCAGAGACAGTGTGATGGGGAGTAGATTGAAGTCCCCACAGTGAGGGAGGGAGTGGGGCTGGGGATGGGGCCAGAGCAGAGCTGGGGCAGGGCATAGGATGAGTGGCTCATCCAGGGGCCATGGCAGGGACAGGGAGTGAGGTGGCTCCTGCTTCTGCGCACATCCCAGGGGAAGCATGGGGGGCATGTACCCCACCAAATCTGTGTGCAGCATGATGGTGGGCTGCCCACAGTGTGATAGGGGCCAGTGGCAGTGCCAGGTTCTTCCCAGTGTTGTGGGGGAGGGACTGGGCCTGGCCTACGTTCAGGGCAGGCAGGGCGGATAGGGCAAGCAGTAGCAGCACTGGGAGTGAATGCTATGGTGAATTTTTGTGTGGCTGTAGCCCCCCCTCCCAGTGCCACTAGTGCCTGACCTGCCCCCCACCCCAAGCACATCCCTGGCCCAGCCCTCTCCCACAAGAAGGAGCCCAGCGCTGCCCCCAGCCCCAAGTGGGCAGCTTGCCCTCACTCCCTTCACAAATCCGGGGGGACAGGGCACATGCCCTCTGTGCCTCTCCTAGAGTTCGCACAGCAGTGGAACCTGCCACCCTGCTCCCTGGACAAGTGCCTGCCTCTGCCCCTGTCCCAGCCCTACTCCCTCCCTCACTGTGAAGGCCTAAGTCTACCTCCCCTGCTCCTTCCTCTGAACAGACTTACCAGCTGGATGCTGATCTTCAAGCTGCCGGGCTGCATATTGGCAACCGGATTGGTATTGACTGATATGGTTCATTAATAATCAGCCATTGGTATTGGCCCAATAAATCTTTACTGGTGCACCCCTAATAGCATACATTATATATAAAAAACAGAACAAACCAGGCAAAAAACAGCCAAAAATATTCTTTCTTAAGTCCTGTTGTCATTAGAATTAAAAGTACAAGTCTTTCAGATTCACAAAACAAAATCTAGCCTTCTCAAGTGTCTTGAAGGTGCATCCAATGCTTCACATAAAATTATTTCCACACCTGAGTTGATTGTCACCTGAGTTCATGTTTTGACACCTGAGCTAATGTTTTTAGCTTGAATTAAAACAATCTACAGGACTGTTAAATAGGAGCTACATTATAAGAAGCAGCCAAAAGACAGCAGAATTGCAAAAGAAAGGATAGTTTGATTAGTGGAATGTTACGGACATTAAAACAGGAGAGAGAGGGTCATTAACAGGTGTGGAATGAAGAGTTTAGAAAGAATCAC